AACCCAATCTCTTTCTCCAACTACAAGACCACCTTGCAGTAGTTCTACAACAATGGTCCTGAATAAAGGCTGCCTTACTGTGCTTTAACAAGTATCACTGAATAATTTTTTCTTTAACAAAACAATTCCATTTTGGACATTAAAAAGAAATTGAATATTCTGGATCTAATAAATTACTAGCTATTCTTTTTATTTTCTCAAAAATATTTCCATTTCCAAAAACCTTTTTGCATTATTTCCGCCTACTTACTTAATCATTCTTTGCTCTGTATCTGATTTCTAGTTTTTTTCCCTGATTTACTTATTAGAAGTTGAAGGGTGTAAGTTACCATGCTCTTATTTGTTCTCTTGTACTTACCACTGCTATTATCTTTTTCATTCTAACTTATTTGTTATATATATAGCATACCTTACTAGTTGCTATATACTTTTTCTGCTCTAAGATAGATAACAACTCTGCTGAATTGTATTTGTAATTCTTGTACTTGCTTTGTTTAAAGGTTACCGTATATTATTTTGCTTTTCTGGCTTTGCTCTTCTGACCTAGCAAACCTGAGTTTTATTTGTTCCAGGTAATTGTATAGTATTATAATTAATTTAATAGCAGAAACAACTCTGCATACTTTAGGAACTTTCTAAAAGTTCCCTGATGGAGACAATTAAAATTCCACAGTCCACAAGAAGAGGGCAATGTAAATAGCCTCAAACCTTACTTCTATTTCCTACTTAAAATATTTGAGGAGCAGAAGTCTCCTACTTTTCTGTAACTGGAACTGACCAGGTGTATTAGTCCATTTTTGTTGCTTATAACAAAATACTTGGAACTGGGTAATTTATAAAGAAAATTAAATGTATTGCTTACAGTTTCTGAGGCTGGGAAGTCCAAAGTCTATGTGGTGGTGGCAACAGTGACCCAAGGATTTCACATTGCAAGATGGTGGAAGCAGAGAGAGCAGAGAGAGAGAAAGACAGACTCTCCTCTTCTTTTTTATTTTTAAAGCCCTCAGAACCACGCCCCTGACCACCATTTTTAATCCATTCACTACAGCATCCAATCACCTCTTCAAGGCTCTACCTTTCAATTACCTTAATAGGATTTCCCACCCTCTTAACAGTCGCAGTGGGGGCTGAGTTTCCAATACATAAAACTTGGGGGACACAATTCAAGCTTCAAAGAGTTTTGGGGGGACATAATTCAATCTACTACACCAGGGAATCAAGAGGTGCCACCCTGACTGAAAATAACTGGAAATTTCTAAGCAAAGTAAAGGTTACTTTCATAGTTAACAAGACAAAGCAGGTAGAACTGTGAAGGTCTTCCTGATATCGCTAAGTTCAACAACGTCTACATGTTCCCAGGACATCTGGTGACATCTTCAAACCTTCGAGACCTAAATATTTTAAGTATTGGAAAACTAAGTAATACTAAAATAAGTATTAAAATCCTTATTGTTAATAATTTTCCCAGAATAAAAATGTTTATACGAAGGGAAAAGGACATGGCATGATTGACTCTGTATATAAATTCCTTATTGCAATAAACATGGAATACCTACAACTTGGTACTAATTGAATAATTTTGTATGCTTCTGCCATATCCCCAATTAGCAGTTTTTGAGAGCAGAGACTCAGTCTTAGAAGAGGAGGTATGGTCAAGTTTAGACGTGCCTCAACCAAAGCAGCTCTGCTCTTATTTGTTATATATTGGAATTCTGGGTAAGACTTTGTTTCAAAAAGGGGTTAAATGTTATTATTTTGTTATCAAGTTTTAAAAAAACACTTGAACCCTACCAGAAAGACTAAAATTGAAAGGACTGACAATACCAACTGTTGACAAAGACATGAGGCAACTAGGACACAGCCACATAGGAACGGTACAGACAGTATAGAAAACTGTCAGGAAATATCTGTTAAAGCTTTTATGTGTGTGGTGTGTGTGTGTGTGTGTGTGTGTGGTGTGTGTGTGTGTGTGTGTGTGTGTACATATATGTATATCTTATGAGCCAGCAATCTTACTCATTGGTATTTACCCCAAAGAAATAAATGCCTATGTCTACCAAAAGTAATGTACTGGAATGTTCTTAGCAACTTTATCTATAATAGCCCAAAACTGGAAAGAACCCAAATATCTATCAATGGAAGAATGGAGAAACTGTGATATATTTATAAATTGGAATATTACATAGTAATAACAAATAAACTATTGCTATTTACAATAAAATGGATGAGTTTCAAATATAATGTTGAAGCCAGGCACAAAAGAATAAATATGCATGACTGCATTTATATGAATTCAAGAACAAGTAAGACTGATATATGGTGACAGAGGTTGGAATAGTGGCTACTTTTGGGTTGAGGAGGATATTGACTGAGAAAGAACGTAAAGGAGCCACCTAGATGCTGGAAATTTTCTATATCTTATGTGGATGGTGATTACATAAGTGTATGCAGATGTAAAAATTCACCAAACTATATATGGAGTATTTGCACATTTACCATACATGTACTTTAAACCTCAATTTTTTTTCTTTGTCTTTTTTTTTTTTTCGTGACTGGTAACGGGATCACAACCCTCGGTGTCGTGGTACGGGCGCGACTGGCAACGGGATCTCAACCCTCAGTGTCACGCCCGCACCACACTCAACCAGTGAGTGGACAGTAATAACTTCGTATAGCATACATTATACGAAATTATACACACTCTACCGAGTGCGCCACTGGGCCGGCCCTAAACCTCAGTTTTTAAAAATTGATATACTAGCAAGAATTTTGTATTAAATGTTGGAAGGTTCTAGTCATGGTTCTGCCATATGAAGTTCTTTCTTTTTTTTCCTTTGCCATATTCTTGACAAAGCACAGAGCCTTACCAGGCTTCCAATCCACATACTAAAATGCTAAGTAGGGCCGAACCTGTGGCTACCTCGGGAGAGTGCAGCGCTGGGAGCACAGCGGCGCTGGGAACGCTGAGGCCGTAGGTTCGGATCCTACATAGGGATGGCCAGTGCACTCACTGGCTGAGCGCAGTGCGGACGACACCAAGCCAAGGGTTGCGATCCCCTTACCAGTCACAAAAAAAAAAAAAAAAAAAAAAAAAAAAAAAAAAAAAAATGCTATGTAAGGTCTCTTTCCCTTCTAAAATTCATTAATTTAAAATTTTTATGAATTTCCTCAGACTATATGTTTACATTAAACATAGTAAGTATATATAAAAAATGGTCTATTCCTGACTGGCACCAAAATTTAAGCATATCTCCTTAATTCCTACTTGGAGAGGCTGGAAGTATAATAGGTTTTTTTATATTAATAGATGGAACTAGCATCAGAGTCTCTGGGCCAACATACAAGCCCAAAGAGTTAAATACTTACCTAGGAACACAGGTGATTAAAAATTCATTATAGTCTATTATCTGGAAAGAACAATAAACTGCAACAACAGTAGCTAGAGGTGTAATTTTCTTTGAATCAATGAAAATAACCTAGAGCCACTGTAGTGATGATACCTAATAATTTATAAATAATCAGTAACCAGAAGTTAGGTATAGGCAGGCAGATGTTCCTTTGAGATTATCTACATAAGGAATCAATATTTACTATACAAGTTCCATGCACTGAAAAACAATCAAGAAGATAGTCCTTGGTGAAAGCAAGCAGAGTACACAAGAGAAGTACACTGCTTTTTCTTTTTTATAGGGGGCATATATTATATCTTTGATTAATGGAAAAACTCAAAAATAAAATAAAATTTAGCCACAAGCAACTTTTCTTCATGAGGAGACACTACCTGAATTAACAGTAGTTTCCATTTTTACATCCTCGTTCCAGGTATATAAGTCATCAAGTCAGGTTATCAGATCAAGTCAGGGCACCCTAGTCATCACTTTAGAAAGAAAACAAAATGCTAAGATTTGACAAAATACTAAAATCATTGTTTTTAGAAATGTTTAAATCTAAGGAACTTCTTGTATGGATTAAGCTTCCAAATTCTGGAGATGGTCTAGCCTTTTGTAAAAAACAGATGTATCCATCAGATGTCAAAGGAAGCACTACATGTAGCAAAACGCCATGGAAAAAGGCATTGGTCCTTTGGGATCAAGGCACAGATTCTAATTCTGGCCTTGCCATCTAAATTTGAGCAAATCGTTTTAATCTTTCTGTGACTCGGTCTTCTTATCTGTAAAATGAAGAAACTGGTTTAGATAATGCCTTTATTTTTCTCTAAAAATTTCAAAATGATTAAAATTCACTATGTGCTCACCAACATGGTAGATACAATTCCTGATATTAACCTTAATCCACACAAAAGCCAACTATCCTTATTAACAAAAATAACTAGAAATTAGAAATCAGAAGCCACCAAAACTGAATGATGAACATTAAGGCCTGAAGTCAGTGAAAAGACCTTTCGTTACCTATAAGATTGGGGTTGCACCCATCAAACAAATAAAAAGGACCACAATACATAAGTGAACAAACAAATTAAATAAATGAAAGGGTATAATGAACTGGTAAAGAATTAACAAAAAAATTCATCAATGAAGCTATATCTGTTCCAGAAAAGGTCTGAGGTTTATATATGTATATGTGTATCTGTGTATATACATAAAATATTAAAAACATATACAGAGAGTCATGCACCTCTTAATGACAGAGATACATTCTGAGAAATGTGTCATTAGGCGATTTAGTCCTTGTGTGAACATCATAGAGGGCACTTACACAAACCTAGATGGTATAGCTCACTACACACCTAGGCTATATGGTATAGTACTATATGAGTACTGAGCTGTGGTAAAATGCTACAATGACTACAATGACATCGCTAAGTGATAAGAATTTTTCACCTCCATTATAATCTTATGGGACCACCATCATCTATGTGGTCCATCATTGACTGAAACATCATTATGCAGCACACTCAAATATATACGTACATATATATACAAACACATATCTTTATTAACTGAATATAGGGTCAGATAAAAAACATAACTTCTACTCACTTTGACAGAGACACTCCCCCAGCTTTCCCAATCATCTCTTCATGGTGCAATACTGAGTGGTTCCATGGAATGTGGAGGAACTTTAAGAGAGTTCTCATCCACCGCTCGGGATGTAAGACGAGTTGTTCATAGTGAACCAACATGCATTTTTTATAACCAACCTCCACACACTGGTTGTACATGGTCTCTATGGCACGATTCCACTTGGTCAAACAGTCCCTGTAGCTGTTCAGGTCAAACCCAGCTATAGTAACTTTTCGAGAAATCATTGAATGTACTGATGCCCGGCCATCTCGGACCATCAGGAGAAATTTGGCATTGGGGAATAACCTAGCAAGGTAAGTTAAGGATTTCAGGGCAAAAGGATCTTTATTACATAAATAAGGGGCTGGCTCCCCATGCTTAACGATGATTTCTAGTAAGAAGGCTTGCATGGCAGAATCCAGCACTTCATCAGTGACACCAGCCTCATCCAAGCGGATCTTCTCTTTACTTGACCGTGACCACATCTGCTTCAGGGCCAGGATTCGGGGAATCACCCTGGTTTCCTCTCCACAGCGAATGTCAGGGTGTGCATCTAACATGGCCCTCATGAGTGTGGTTCCACTCCTAGGCACACCTCCAATAAATATTAAAGGCATATCCTTGTGATAGGCAAAGGTTTTGTTGGCTTTGATGTCCAGGCCAGTGCGCACAGTGGTCTTTGTGTTCTCCAATTTGACTGGCTGGCTACGTTCCTCTATTCGGTGATGGCATTCCATGGCATGCTGGCCCAAGTAAAACACAGTCACAGAACTAATCACCAGACATGCCAATAGTAAGTTCTGCTTCAGTTTTCCAACCATCTTGATGTGGTTCTCTTGTTATTAAACAGATATTTTGCTCAAAATTATTTTCAAAAAACATTCAGGCCATGGAGATTCTACTTCAGAGAGATGATCAACACCTAGTAGAAAAAGGAAAAGGTTATTTTATCATCACATTAAGATTGCTTACCAGTTATTACCATTGCATTTTAGCTAGAAAGAAGGTGAAGCAGTCTTAGATGCTTTGATATTCTTAGAACAAGGAATACACTAATGCTAGCAAAAATAAATTAACGTTTGCAATCAGAAACAGCTTTTCTTAATGTAAAATTCTGAAGCTACATATCTGGCACAGAATTAAAAACAATGACGATAAAATGCAATCAGTGCCTCAGCAGAATTATGCAAAGGGACAATAGGAATGCAATGAAAAAGAGTACGTAAATCTACCGGAGTAAGCTGTAGGGGTATTGTAAGCCATAGGAACTTGTGTGCAAAAGTATGATGGCATGACAAAACACAGCGTAATTCAGTAACAGGAAGTAGTTCAGGAGAGCTGGTGTATAGGGTGCAAAGAAAACTGTGTACGTATATGTGTCTGTAACTTAGCCCTTGGAATGACAGATAAGATTTTGATACACAGAGCATTCAAAGCTGCAGATACAATATGATCAAAGATATGGATATGTAAACACAGGGGCACGTATGTGAAACAGAACTGCTAGTTTAGCTAGTATAAGGGCACACACTGGGAAGCAGACGGCAACCAGACTACACTTAGAGTAAAAAAATTTACCCTGAATCCTCAGAAGATAAGTGTGATGGTTAATTTTATGTGTCAACTTGGCTAAGGTAGGGTGCCCAGTTGTTTGCTCAAGCACCAGTCTAAATACTTCTGTGAAAGTATTTTTTAGATGTCATTAACATTTAAATCAACATGATTTTGAGTAAAGCAGATTACCTTCCATAATACAGGAGGGCCTCATATATGTGTATGTATATACACACATACATGTATAAAATGTATATACTATTGGTTCTGTTTTTCTGAAGAACGCTGACTAACACAATAAGTATTCCTGGGGAACTTACTAACTACACTAGAAAAAGAACACATTCTGAGAGGCAGGACTTCCAGCTATGGCCTACTGAAAAGGTAGGCAATTCCTCTCCCCAAAAACCAATAGAGAGCTGGATGAAATTGACACAACAACCTTTTCAGTGCTCTGGAAATTGACTGAAGGAACATGACAACCTGAGAAGAATTTATGCTTGAAAAACTGTGCAAAATTGGGTATGAACAGTGAAAGTCTGTGTAAGGCTACTGCCACCTGTCCATCCACCCACTCAGTAGGGACAGAGGTGCTGCAGGGTAGGGTAGGGCAAGGCAAACCATGAGGACTGGCAGCCTTGATGCTGGGGTGGAAGGGAGTTTGCTGGATCTGGAGTGGTGAATAACACACCCGTTGAGCTGCACTGGCAGTGTAAGTGATGTACCAGCCAGGAGGTGTGCTGGAGAGTGGACAGCTCTAGTAGGCTGAGGTTGTAGTCATGGTTGGGCAAGTTTGTGGCCAACCCTGAAGCTGCATGCAAGCACAGAGGAAACATGAAAGGACTGAGTGGAAAGTAACAGCCACAGCAGATCGGAAAACAGCTTGAACTTTCACCGTGCTTCCCTACCCACACACACATCTACTGGCAGAGGACAAAAGCTTTACTGGCTCAAGAAGTTTGCATGAAACCACTGTCCAAGCACTGGCTGACTACTGATCACTAAACTTTGCAGACAGGGAGGCAACCCCCAGAAAGCCATGCTTAAAGATGAAACCAATAATTAAAGTGTGTGTACACATACATACACATACACGCACATACATATAAGCAACAACATCGGCATATATTTTTTGTATGAAAACATCCACTTAAGGCAAATCTTTAGAGACGTAAAGCAGGACAGAGAAACAGGGATTTAACTGCAAACTTTTTAAAAAAACTTTTTTAAAGGAACCTTTTGCAGTGACTAAAATGTTCTATAACTGAACTGTTGTCATAGTTGCACAGCTCTATAAAACCTACTAAAAATCATTGAATGGTACCCTTACAATGGGTGAGTTGCATAGTACATAAATTTTATCTCAATATGGCTGTTTTTTAAAAAAGAATACATTACTTGAAAGAAAAAAGTATATATATATAAAATATTTTTTTTCTTTTTCCTTTTGGCAGCAGGTTGGTATGGAGGGAAAAATATTTTGACAGTCTCAGTAGCATACACCAACCAAGATCTGATTTTTGTTTAATCATGTACTCAATCCTTCAGTCACTCATTCTGCGTGTGTTTGAGCACATATTATTGTGCTGGGCACTGTACAAAGCTTCAACAAAGAATCACAAAGTGAGAATCAGTTGAGATTAAAATACCAGTTTAATAAGAAAAGACTGCAAGGAAAAAAAGCATTACTTAGGATAACTGGTAGCAATATAGCACTGTGCATTACAGAGTACAGACTCAAGATGTTATCTTAAGTAACACTTAAGAGGTTATCCCAGTATTCAATTTAAGAGAGGATGAGTAGGAAGAAAACAATGGCAAGAAAAGAGTAGTACAGAAAAAAGAGATTTAGATTCAACCCTAAAATAATAACATTTTGGTTGAAGAAACTAAAATTGTATCACAAGTACAAAAAAAGAAAACTTTACCGAACTGGAAAAAGACACTAGTCTCCATTTCAAGCAAAACAAATGACAATAGACTTGAACTAGACACATCCTGTCAATTTTAAGTATGAAGGAAATAACTCTATAGGCTTCCAAACAGAAAAACAAAACAAGGACCAAAGGACCAAATAACAAGCTGGCATTAGGTATCTCTACAACATTAAATGCTTGTCCTCTGGTTTCCTTGTATATACCTTTCTTTATTTGTCAAATTACTATGATGAACACGTGTTACTTTTCTAACTGGGGAAAGATAAATCAATATTTTAAAAATAATAGAGACAGTCTTTCTTTAAAAACAGCATTTAGGCTAAGATCTGAAAAACCAGTAGGAGTTACGTAGGGTGAAGGGAAGCATATTCCAAGCAAAAGCAAATGAATATGCAAAAGCCCTGTAATGGGAAGGCATTTTAAAGCATTCAAGAAGCAGAAAGTAAGCTCATATAGCTGCCAGGTAGTGAGCAAGAGGGAAAGTGGGTGAGATGAAACTGGGCAGGGGTCAGATCATAAATTTTACGGATCAAGTGAGGGATCTGAAATTTTTTTTTTTAAAAAAAAAAGATGACCGGTAAGGGGATCTTAACCCTTGACTTGGTGTTGTCAGCACCATGCTCACCCAGTGAGCAAACCGGCCATCCCTATATGGGATCCGAACTCGTGGCCTTGGTGTTATCAGCACCGCACTCTCCCGATTGAGCCACGGGCCGGCCCCCTGAAATTTTCTGATAGAGTGATGATGTTGTCACTGATTTAAGGATATCAAATCCGGAGCTACTTGATTCAATTTAGGTTTATAAAATCTCATCTAGCCAAAACAATCTTGAAAGAGAATAAAGTTGGAGGACTCCCACTTCCCAATTTTAAAACTACAAAGCTACAGTAATAAGACAATGTAGTACTGGCATAAAAAGAGACATAAATTGATTTTTGACAAGATTGTCAAGACAATTCAATGAGGAAAGAGCGATCTCTTCAACAAATGGTGCTGAGACAACTGAATATCCAGATACAAAAGAATAACGTTGGATGCCTACCTCACACCATTCACAAAAATCAATTCAAATTAAATCACAGACCTAAATGTAAGAGCTAAAACCATAAAACTCTTAGAAGAAAACAGAGGTGTGAATCATTACAGCCTTGGGTTAGGCAATAATTTCTTAGATAAAACACCAATAAAACAAGCAACAACAAAAAAAAACAGATAAACTGGACTTCATCAAAATTAAAAATTTCATGGCCAGCAGCCAAAACAAAGTTAAAAATTTTTCTGCTTCGAAGGATAAAACAAAGAAAATGAAAGACAGACCAAACAAAAGGAGAAAATATTTGCAAGTCATATGTCTGATAAGGAAACTTGTATCTAGAATATACAATAAAGAATTGTTACAATTTACAAACAACCCAATTACAAAATGGGGCTCAGTTGTTTAGAGAGCGGCATCATCACACCAAGGTCAAGGGTTTGGATCTCATACTGGCTAGCTATGAAAAAAAAAAAAGGACAAGGGATACAAATACACATTTCTCCAAAGAAGATGTGTAAATCATCAATAAGCACATAAAAGATGCTCAACATCACTAATATTTTGGAAAATGCAAATCAAAACCATAGTGAGATACCACTTGACACCCACTAGATGGTCACAATCAAAAACAAAGAATAATGAGTGCTGGTGAAGATGTGGAGAAGTAAAAACCCTCATACACTACTGGTGGGATTGGGAAATGGTGCAGCCACTTTAGAAAATAGTTTGGCCACTTCCAGTCAAGATGGCGGAATAGACGGTCCCCAGCATCACTCTCTCCCACAAATCAACCAATTTACAACTATTAAAAAACAACAGCAGCCACAGTGGGGCCACTAGAGCTCAGGGAAAGAGGAGGAGAGACCTACAGAGTGTATGAAGGTCAGAGAAGCCACGATGAGAAAAAGAAAAACCTCTCCAACCATTTTGAGCCCCAGCTGCTTCAAGGCTGGAGCTGGTAAGCACATGGAGCAGGACCTGGCAAAAGCTGCAACTGTGCCCTTCGGATGAAGTTGCATGGAGGTGGCAGGGGAGAAGAGGACCTTGGTGGCCCCCAGGCCAGCAAGACCACTAATATGGTTCCACGGACCCACATAGGACTGAGGAGCCACAACAACTGAAAAAAAGGAGCCACTCAGAGGTCAGTGAGTCATTGCAAGGGACTGACATACAGCCCGTCCCATGGGAAGTGTTTGCAGCACAGGTGGGGGGAGATGGGCCCACTGGGAGAACACTAGGACACAGCAAGTACAGCTGATCTACCCCCCAATCGGTGTAGGACCACTCAGAGGAGACTGGTCAGGTATACAGAATTGCATGGGGTGCAGTTTGATGAAAAGACTCAGGCCCAGACCAGAGTTTCTGCACAAACTCGGGCCCAGTCCAGTGTTTCT